AGGGAGCCGCCGCTTCTGCGATGCCCCGACCGCCCGTGCCTGGTCCAAAGGGGGCCGCTTTTGTCTCTGCTCTGCCCGCATCCGGCCCACAGGGGGCCGCCTTCGTCTCTGCTCTGTCCACACCCGGCCCACAGGGAGCCGCCGCTTCTGCGACGTCCCAGCCGCTTGCGCCCAGTCCGCAGGGAGCCGCCGCTTCTGCGATGCCCCGACCGCCCGCGCCCGGCCTACAGGGGGCCGCCGCCTCTGCGGTGCCCCGGCCGCCCGTGCCTGGTCCACAGGGGGCCGCTTTCGTCTCTGTTCTGCCTGCGCCCGGCCCACAGAAGGCCGCGCCTATGTACTCTGCCCCTGTTTCTCCGTCCAAGCCCGTCCTGGCCCCGTGCCCCGAGTTCTTGACTCCGAACCCCATCCAATTGGACCCTTTTTGGCACTGGTGGGGGTCCGGCAAAGGACCAGCCCGGTTCTCTGTCTCCCGAAAGGGGAGACGGGGACATGCCAGGCGATCCAACCGCCCTGGCCTAGCCCCTTCCTCAGTGTCACCCTCTGGCCCTCATTCTTCATTCCCTTCTCCTTCGCCCTTCAGTTCCCATTCCAGTCCCGTGCCCTTCTCATCGCCCTCCAGTCCCAGTTCCTGTCCCAATCCTGCAGTCCCTTCCGCATTGTCACCCTCTGGTCCCCATCCTTCATTCCCTTCTCCTTCGCCCTCCAGTCCCCGTTCCGGTCCTGTCCCTTCCTCGTCGGCGCCCTCTAGTCCTAGTTCCTGCCCCAGTCCTGTAGTCCCTTCCTCGTTGCCACCCTCTGGTTCCCATCCTACAGTCCCTTCCTTATCGCCCTCCGTTCCCAGTTCCCATCCTTGTCCTAGGGTCCCTTCCTCATCACCCTCCGGTCCCTTTTCCCGTCCTGCCGTTGTTACCTCATCGCCCCCCAGTACCCATCCTTGTCCACGTCCCGCAGTCCCTTCCTTGTCACCCTCCGGTCCTAGTTCCCGTCCTAGATCTCCAGTCCCGTCCTTGTCGCCCTCCAATCAGCCACCTACCCCACATCCTACCCAACAGTTCCCTTTTCTGTTTCCCGGTCAGCTGCCCCAACAAGTCCCGTTTCTGCCCTTCCCTTCCGGTTCCTCTGCCCCGTTTCGGTCCCAGTCCCATGTCCCTGGTCCTGTCCCTTCTGGTTCCCCTGCATTTTGTTTTCCTCCTCGTGCCCCGGGTTTTGTTCCTCCGCCTCCGCGTCCATTCCCGGGTCCTTTTGTTTTTGGTTCCCAAGTTCTGCCCCCTACTGTGTTCCCTCGTCTGGTCTTCCTGTCTCAGCTCCTGGTGTCTGCTCTGTCTATTTTCGTGCCCTTCCTGTCTGAGTTTTTGGTTCTGTCTGTCCAGTTCCTCGGTTGTCGTTAGTTTGTTCCCTGTCCGGTTCTGCGTCTTGGTCTGTTCCGTCCGTCCTGTCTGTCCGGTTCTGCGTCTTGGTCTGTTCCGTCCGTCCTGTCTGTCCGGTTCCTTGGTTGTCGTTCGTCTGTTCCCTGTTCTGCTCCGAGTCTGAGTCCTGTCTGCCTGTTCTCTGTGGCCCTGGCAGTGCCCCGGCGCGCGTCCGGTGTCCGCGCGTTAGGTGGGGGGTACTGTCAGGGTCAGCCTCCCGCTGTGGTCCTTCCGTGCCCCTTCCCCGTTTGACCAGCAGGTGGTGCTGGTCAT